CCGTCTGAAGTTTGCCAAAGAACATCTGAATGATTCAGAGGAGAACTGGGTTAAAGTGTTGTGGTCAGATGAGACCAAAATCGAGTCTTTGGCATCAACCCAACTCACCGTGTTTGGAGGAGGAGGAATGCTGCCTATGACTCTGAGAACACCATCCCCACCGTCACATGGAGGTGGAAACATTATGCTTCGGGGTGTTTTTTCTGCTAAAGGGACATGACAACTGCACCGCATAAAAGGGACGATGGACGGGGCCATGTACAGTCAAATCCTGGGTAAAAACCCCCTTCCTTCAGTCAGGGCATTGAAAATGGTTCGTGGATGGGTATTCCAGCATGACAATAACCCAAAACACAAAATAAAGGAGTGGCTCAAGAAGAAGCACATTAAGGTCCAGGAGTGGCCTAGCCAGTCTCCAGACCTTAATCCCATAGAAAATCTGTGGAGGGAGCTGAAGGTTCGAGTTGCCAAACATCAGCCTCGAAACCTTAATGACTTAGAGAGGATCTGCGAAGAGAAGTGGGACAAAATCCCTGCTGAGATGTATGCAAACCTGGTGGCCAGCTACAAGAAATGTCTGACCTCTGTGATTGCCAACAAGGGTTTTGCTACCAAGTACTAAGTTGAAGGGGTCAAATACTTATTTCACTCATTGACATGCAAATCAATTTAGAACTTTTTTACATGCATTTTTCTGGATTAGTTTTTTTGTTAATAGTGTCTCTCACTATTAAAATACCTACCATTAAAATTATAGACTGATAATTTCTTTGTCAGTGGGCAAATGTTCAAAATCAGCAGGGCATCAAATACTTTTTTCCCTCATTGTATGTTACTCTCTAATGTATATTTGTAACAAAATGGTAGTTAAAGGGAAACACTTTAGCTTGCTGAAGTGCTTTATGTGTGAAGAGGTGTACTCTTTTTTTAATCTTACAAAAATATGTAAATAGAATTTAAAACCTTTATAAATGAACCATGTTACATGTCTGTCAATCAGACAACTGGTCCTGTTACTTCCTGGTTGTTTAGCTCGGTGGAGCTAAACTCAAGAGGCAGTGATTGCTCAGCGCACTTGACTTGCAAAAACTTCTCAGTGAGCTGAATTGAGAAGTCTGTGATTAGACAGTCACAGAAAGTGTGTGATGGGGGAAAGGCTGCAGACAAGAGAGCTGCAGCTTTTGCACACTATCTGTTTTATATATACTTCTTATAAAAAAAAAGCTAAATTAAATACATGCAGGTTTTCATTAATGGAATATTCACCAAATAGTGTTTTTTATGTGTTTGCATTTGGGAAGTGGAGTTTCCTTTTAAGGTTTACTGAAGATAAGAGACATGACGGGTTTTATTTTAAAGAAACAGTTTGATTACATTTCCTTAATTAAATCCTTTACATTTCAGGACCTTCCTCTATAGTTCCATCTAGCAACCCATGAGTTAAGATTTTTAAACAAACTTTTGGCTGACTTTTCATCATACCTAATTCTGCAGAAAGGAGGCCATATTTACTTTGTAATGACATCAATTGCCCATAAATATTGGAGAGCTCAGTTTGCTTGCATTTGAAGAGAGGTTTCAGTCTGACATTTAACTGTTTGCAAAGCTCCTTTTTATGTTTGCTTATGGTTTTTCTTACTTATCACCTGTCATTACTGGGTTTTTCTTTCTTTGCTGTGAATTGAAGGAAGAAGTTATGCTGCCTGTCAAACAAAGACAAATTGTAGTGAACACAACTGCTAGCCACCTGTCTCAGGTCTGGCAAACATTTTCCTCTGTCCCAGCTTACAAGGCCAGATTCCTCTTCTCAGAAAATAATGGTGGAAATACCTTGAAATTCCAATTATGCTTATGTATAAACATCTGTGAAACAAAGAGACTAGAGAGTTCTAAGTACGTGTACCTGTGTCTTACATATCTCTGTTTAGCTGCTACTACCACTGTCCCTGGACCTTACCATAATTGGCAATTAGTGCTTTACCCTTCCATACCAGTAGGGCAGTTTATAAGAACAACCAGCTGTATTAGAACCCCAGGAATGCTCACTGAAAGGATACCAAGGTATTAATCCACAGAATTAGCTTAAAACATGTACCCTGGCCAGAATCATTGTGTCTCTAAAAGGATGCATCATTCTTATAAAGTCCTACGGCTGAGAAAATTACTTGAATTTACTGACTCCATTTTAAAACTCTGCTATGTGAGTGACAAATGTCCTTCCGATTTACCGTAAAACAAATTCTTCTAAGGTTTTCAGGAACTATAAAGTGTAATGTGAATGTCTTTCTTGTTTGTTACCACGAGCAACTAAACATTCTCTTCTTGAAGTTTTCTTAAGGTCGTATTAACTGGTACTTGAGGTGAATTTGAAAGGCCATGATTCTTTGGCAAATTCTATTACGTAACACAAGTGATCAACTTGCCATGTATGAGTTAAACACAGTTTTCTTTTATGGAAAACCCTTAAACTTCTTGAAACTATGAGTTGGTTAGATAACATAATTACATTGCCTCTCTTGCTCCCAAAGAGGTGAGTTTATCAAAATATATAAAATATGCACCTTTGAGGTACTTTTCCCTGTGGAATAATATATGTTTAATTTCAAATGTTATAGAATTTACTATGAAACATTTGCTTGTATGAATCTTCCTTGAAGAAAACATACATCACTTTTAGCTCTTTGTTGACATGAAGTATTGTGAGTCATAATTCTAGTGACAGAATGTCACTATTTTAAATGCACATATTATGATTGTTCGTCCACACAAAAACCTGTTCTAAAGGTCTCACTGGCTGTCTAAGCAGTTGATGGACTCATTGGGGGCGGGCAAACAGCTGCTTCCAGTCCTCCTGTAGCATGACTCAGTGAGCTCTATCTAGCTATGGAAACCTTGGCATGAACCCTCATTCTTCACTCTCATCAGCTAGGTCTGCATTTCAAATGAAGAAAGAGGGACACTTTCAATTTCAAGGTGTAAGTGGGGGAGGAGGGCACCACAATGAAAGACATGGGGCCCTTCCCTAAACTATCAAATTATAACTTTTCTTAAAATGATTCTTCCTTACAGCTACACACAGAACTTTTGGTGTTTGCACAAAATGTTACGTTAAGACATGATTAATAATTTCCAAACTCTTCAGAGATTTAATTTGTATTTCAGAATATAATTTGCAGCATTGCCAAGTCCAAGTCTTTCAAGTGCCAAAGTTCATTTTCACTACTAGACTAAGAGTTGTTCAGGGAAGGAGTTAATACGTGGGGCATTCAAGTATGCAATTAGCTATACATATATCCTGTTATCTGCTTTCCATTAATGGTGAACTGCCAGGTTTATAAGGCAGAAAGTGGGAGAGAGGATGATGAGATTAACTTGTATATTACAAAGCAGAAAACACACTCAGACAATCTGGGCACCACTTTAAAGCAGAATGGAGTCCATTAACCAACGTGAGACTGATACGCTTTTAACATTTTTTATGGTTTGTGTGAGTGACTGGACAAGTTGGCAGGTGGGAAAGAGGTTGAAGACTTTGTGTAACAACTTAACAAGCTATTAAAATTGTGGAGTGCCTAGGTAGTCTGTCAAGATTTAAAATCTGAAGCAACCTTACATCACCCCTGAGAAGGGATCTGGCAGAAAGCCCACTTCATTTATTAAACAGAGTAAGGACCCATTCCTTTTACTAAGGAAGTACTCATTTAGCAAGTATGGTTTTTATTGGCTGCCCATATTTAGAATCAGGTTTGAAGAGGATGCATTTAGCTTTATTGTAACAGATAGCATAGAGCAAATGCTAACATACTGTATTGTAACAGACCTTAACCCATAAGTCTATATATCTAAATATTTAGTCTTACCATATTTTAAGGACACACTCTATCATTCAATTATAAATGTTTTAAATGGATCCCTTTGACACAACAAAGAGATCAGTCAATCACATTAGAGGTCACAACACTATCATTAGCGATAGCTGATTGTTTTGTCACCTTTGCTAAAACACACAAATGTTGGCCATGTTTCCACGATGAATGGTTAAACAAGTGTTTGGCAATGTTCTGACATTAATTTTCAAAAAAAATTTTAAAGAGAGGGACAGGTAAATGCAAGGTAATTCTATGTGGGAATGTGCAGACACCTTGACTAGATGTTATTGGTTTATAAAGATATTAGAAGCAAGTCCATATTCTTGTTAGTTACGTAAAGCGAAAGGTTTCTCTTCTACACTGGAATGGCGACCACGACTGCTGCAATGTGAGGTTAGTATATACAAATGCTTTATTTAACAGTTTAGCAACCTAAGGGGTATAAATGTAAATAGGTGTATGGGGCCTACATCTCACCTGATTTCCATTTGTCATAGCTGGGCATTAGTTCCTGGCCAGTATAGTTCAGTAAATGTGTCAAATCTAGGGCTTGTGGAACAGTGGGCTGGCACTATCTAATGGGGAAGAACCGTCTGTAGATCCTATTAAGTGAAGAGCATTAGTACATGTCTGTAGGATACTGATAGATTGCCTATAGTTAAGCTGACATGTTAGATGGTTTAACCCTTTAGAGACACAGTTTCAGAAGTAAAAGGCCAGCATGATAGAAAGTTTCCATCATGTGTCCTTAAGGGGTAAAAAAAGGCTTTGCCAATCAACCCAATAACTAGTGTTATATGGTTATTAGGTTGGTTTAAATAAATATATTGGGGATCAAGAGTCATGTATTTTCATCTTATGGTGCTGTAATTAAACAGTGTTAATTTTGTCGACTAACAATTGTCGTCAGATTTTAGTCAACTAAAATTTTTGAGGTTTAGGCGACTAAAACTAAAACAATTCAGATGACTAAAATACGACTAGAATTAAAATGGCTTTTTAGTCAAAAGACTATGACTAAAACTAAATTTTAATTTGCTGCCAGAATTAACACTGGAGGGTAAGACACATGGGGGAGAGGAAATTAGACACATGGGGGACTGAGGAGATTGAAACACATGGGGGGACTGGTGGATTGAAACACATGGGAGGGCTGGGGGAATGAGACACATGGTGGGCTGAGAGAATGAGACACATGGGGGGCTGAGAGATTGAGACATATGGCAGCTGAGAGAATGATACACATGAGGGGCTGGGGGAATTAGACACATGGGGACTGGGAGAATGAGACACATTAAGGGACTGGGGGAGGAATTGAGACACATCAGAGGCTGAGGGAAAGAGACACGTGGGGAGATGAGATGCATGCAGAGTCTGAGGGGACACAAAGCAACATAGAGGGGCTGGAGAAGAAAGAGACAAGGTGCTGGGGGGAAGAGACACACAGATGGGGCTGTGAAGAGAAAGAGACACACAGAGGGTCTGGGATGGGGCAGCAAAGAGCCACAGAGGGGCTGGGAAGGGACAAAAGAGACAGACAGGGGCCTCAGGGGGGACAGCCAGTGGGGCTGGTGGTCACAAAGAGACAGCCGGGGCCTGGGGAAGTTGCAAAAGAGACATACCGGGGCTTGGGAGAGAGACACCCAGGGGAACTGGAGGGCACAAAGAGACACAGATGGGCTGGGGAAGGGACAAACAAGACAGAAAGAGGATTTAACTAAACCCATTCGATTTTAGTTGTGTCGACTAAAATCTACTGGAGATTTAAATGACAAAAACTAGACTAAGACTAAAACAATTGAGTTGACTAAAATACGACTAAAACTAAATGGCTTTTTAGTCAAAAGACTATGACTAAAACTAAATTTTAATTTGCTGCCAGAATTAACACTGGAGGGTAAGACACATGGGGGAGAGGAAATTAGACACATGGGGGACTGAGGAGATTGAAACACATGGGGGGACTGGTGGACTGAAACACATGGGAGGGCTGGGGGAATGAGACACATGGTGGGCTGAGAGAATGAGACACATGGGGGGCTGAGAGATTGAGACACATGGCGTCTGAGAGAATGATACACATGAGGGGCTGGGGGAATTAGACACATGGGGACTGGGAGAATGAGACACATTAAGGGACTGGGGGAGGAATTGAGACACATCAGAGGCTGAGGGAAAGAGAAACGTGGGGAGATGAGATGCATGCAGAGTCTGAGGGGACACAAAGCAACATAGAGGGGCTGGAGAAGAAAGAGACAAGGTGCTGGGGGGAAGAGACACACAGATGGGGCTGTGAAGAGAAAGAGACACACAGAGGGTCTGGGATGGGGCAGCAAAGAGCCACAGAGGGGCTGGGAAGGGACAAAAGAGACAGACAGGGGCCTCAGGGGGGACAGCCAGTGGGGCTGGTGGTCACAAAGAGACAGCCGGGGCCTGGGGAAGTTGCAAAAGAGACATACCGGGGCTTGGGAGAGAGACACCCAGGGGGACTCGGGGGCACAAAGAGACACAGATGGGCTGGGGAAGGGACAAACAAGACAGAAAGAGGATTTAACTAAACCCATTCGATTTTAGTTGTGTCGACTAAAATCTACTGGAGATTTAAATGACAAAAACTAGACTAAGACTAAAACAATTGAGTTGACTAAAATACGACTAACTAAAACTAAATGGCTTTTTAGTCAAAAGACTATGACTAAAACTAAATTTAAATGTGCAGTCAAAATTAACACACCAAGGAGAGGCTATATGTTTAAGCACCAATCATGTTTGTAATTTCTTTTTTCCAAATTTGACAAAGAGGTACATTTTTGGTTAATTGTAATTTTCTATTGCAGTACGATTTTTAGGACGACTATGAGAATCTGTGAAAAGACAGATCTTTAAAATCCTTAGAATAATAATTCATTAACCGACTCTACCAAGCATACACGTAGAACTACGTTTGAAAACCAACATGTATTACAAACGTACCTTAAGCTAGGTTGTTATATGTTTCCACCTAGTTGCAGACTATAGTTGACCATGACATTATGAATTCAACTCAGCTTTTCAACTCTGCTGGAGAGCTCTTTCAGGGGGAAAAGCATTTGCTTGTAATTTGTCTCTGGTGTCCCCATAAGTGGAATATTAGAGGACAAAAGTGGGACAGGTTCAAATAGTGTGTTGTGTGTGCAGCGAGGCTGTCTGGGGTGTTGTATGCATATGTAGACTGCTTGAGAGGTTGTTGGGGGGGGGAGGCTATCTGTGGCATTATGTGTGCATGGGCAAACTGCATGTGGGGATGCAAATACAAGGGAATCTTGCAGAGGTTGGGATTCTGCTTGCAGTCTTTGTGTGTGGAGGGGATGCTGCTTGGGGGATACCAAGTCTGGGTCAGCAGGATGTGTGAGTGACACATGAAGTGTGAGAGAAGGGGACATGGGGCTATGTGTCTCTCCCCACAGCCCCCTGTATACCTCTTCCCCCATCCCCCTGTATGCCTCTTCCCCCAACCCTCTGTGTGCCTCTTCCCCCCAGCCCTCTGTATGTCTCTCCCCATCCATGTAGCATGCCTGAGCTGCTGTAACCTCTACCTGGTCTGACAGAAAGCTGTCCGCACTCACTGTTAGGCAAAAACTCCTCTATTTCGGTCTGGAGCTCAGCCATGCTAAATGCTGTGACAGGCAGGATAGGAGCACTGTGCTGTGCTCTCCCCTCATGCCGGTCACCTGGAGACTGTGTCCCACAGGCCGATGTGTCCTAGGCAGCTGCCTAATCTGCCTAGCAGATGTATACAGCGCCTTTACAAAGTCGGTGCTTACTAATCCATTCAAACTGCTGAGGGATAATATGCTTATTCAAAAGAATATTACATAGAACAATTGGGTATAAAATTAGATTCTTTAAATTTCGACCTTTTATTAATTAGAATTTACAACAAGCACAATATTAAATTGGTTTTCTGTGAGGAATTTGCTTCATGACACGAGCCCTTATATTTATACCTCCCATCCAAGGAATGATGATTGAATCTCTCTCCCTCATTTAGTGCAGTTTTTACACTGATAATGTACTCCCATCGAACATCACCACATTCAAAGAGGCAAAGCTTCCCAATGTCTGCTCAAAAGATAATTCTATCCTGAGAGAGCCACATGTGGCACAGGAAGTTCTGTACCACTCTCTGGAAGTCGGTCTGTTTCCGACTTTCCCTAGTATAGCAAAATATCTTAAAAACCCCACGTCCTGTGACACAGGTCTGTGAGTTATCATAGTTATATTGATAACACTTTGTGACATTTTTTTTTCATGATTAGCTTAGTGACTGTCAGCGGTAGTTAGTGTGTCTGATAGTTGTTTGCAAAAAACAAGAGTATAATGCACACAATAAATAAGGGGAATACTTCTTGCAGGGTGCTCCAGAAAGGGATGGCCAATTCCTGAAGACATCAAATGGAAGAAAAGAAATACCCAGGTATACCTGAGGCTTCTTCTAAAAAGCAGTCTTTTTATTTGAAACAAGGAAGTGGGGACAGCATTTCGGTTCCTCTCTCAACTCTTACTTGATAAAGGCTCAGAGAGGAGCCGAAATGTTGTCTTCACTTCCTTGTTTCAAATAAAAAGACTGCCTTTTAAAAGAAACCTCAGATGTGCCTGAATATTAATTTTCTTCCAACTGTTCCTGATAGTGACTGTTAATCTGAGGATCAGCAGCAGTTGTGTGATGGCCAGTCCGGGTCTATATTCAACCCACACTAAGCATCGTGTGTTCAGACTGCTTGAGTACAAATTTCTACTTTTAGCATAAAGCTTGTGTTCCTATGTTTCACTAGTTAAAAACATTTAAAAAGGAATATATCAACCCTTACTAGATTAGTGTCAGTTGGGTGGAATGGGGGTACTCTTTTCATATGCCTCTTATACCTTAATGATTATAAAATCCCTCCGTCACTTACCTTTATTCATTTTTATCTTTTTTTTTTACTTTGAGCCAGATCTGAATATTTGGACCCTGCCATTTTGTACTCCCTTGTCTATAATGCTGACACTTTGCCCTTCCATGGAATGCTTGTCACTGAACTGATGAGTTGTAAATAAATTAGCTTAGGAACTGAAATATAACTTTGCATTAAAGTCAATGGTCATAGAAATTTTCACTTCTTGTTTTTTAAAAGTTTAACATTTAAATAAAACTTAATTTGTTTAGATTTTTTTTTTAAATGATGTATATTGATTTAAATTTCTAATCTAAGCAGCCATGTTGAATTCTACTACACATTTATCTGAGCAACTGCTGTTCAGCCTAATATGCCTGCTGCTATTGCTCTGCGTGAACCTGAAGCAGCAGGAAAGTTTGGTTGAGCCGTATTTTGGTCATATTACAGTAGAATCCGACCCAAAATAGCTGGATAATTTTTTTTTTTTAAAGTTATTTAAAGGGACACTATAGGCCTATAGTTTAACTCCAAGTAATCCATGTTTAAAATGGAATAATGAGGCAAAAAGGTAATTCTTTGTTGAACAAAATTTACATATGCCCACCCAGAATACCTTGTGGTAGTAACATCTCTGAGATTTATGTGGGAAAAGCAAGTCTTATGGCTTGACTGGTGTGTGCAGATGTGGGTTTAACAATGTATTGATTAACCACTGACTTCAGGTGGAAGGGGTTTCTAATCACTTTTTTCCCCACCATAACATTTTTGGTTTGTGCTCCGTTGTAATATGCACATACACATACATATCTGCTGAAAGGAGCTTCAAATTATTCTTCACTGACGGCAACTTGCAAGTAAGTGATAAGGTTTTGTTAATCTTGCATCCACATCTTGTGTGGGCCAAGTCAATTAGAATTCCATGGGCAGGTTTCTTAAGATCTTCTAAATAATACTCCTCATTCCATCTGCCTACTCCCCACTCTATGAAGGCTTAAAGCTTGATAAATCAAATGGAAACACATGAATTCAGGGAAGCTTCTACTTCACTGCTTAATCTTTATATAAGTCAGATTGATATTTAACCAACATATACCTGAGGTAAAAAAAAGTCATGTCCTGGGTATAACATGACATAAACTTTGTGGAAGTTTAACGATAGGCTGTAATGTATAAAAATACATAATAAGGATTTCTTCTTGAAGAACTTTCTATGGTCACTTTCTATGTCGCCACACCCAGCTTGACAGGCCTCCCAATTGTCCCAATTTAGGCTTTATTTACTGAAGTGTGAATTGTTAATTAAAAGTAATGCAAAGTAAATGTAAAGAGAGTTTTGCATTTAAGGTAAATATAGACACACGCGAAAGAATCTCCAAGTCAACTATACTTCTAGTTTAGCTTCTTTGGCCTGAAGTGTGAAATTCACATTGAATTCCTGGCAGTTCTCACTTTATTAAATAGCCTTTTAAAGGCAACATAACCACTGCAGTATGCTGTAATGGTTCTGGTGCCTAGAGTGTCCTGACAACCCCATTGGAAGTAGTCAAATTGTTTTTGAATGGTTCCCTTGGTGCTGCTTCCTACTTGCACTACTAAACCCAGTGAGCTGGAAGTTCCTAAGCAGGAACCTCCATTAGATCTTCTGAACTACGCCATGCAGTGGATGACTTAGCTCAGGGATAGGCAACCTTCGGCACTCCAGATGTTGTGGACTATATCCCCCATAATGCTCTTACACTCATAATGCTGGCAAAGCATCATGGGAGGTGTAGTCCAAAACATCTGGGGTGCCGAAGGTTGCCTATGCCTGTCTTAGCTCATTGTCTATAGTTGGGTGATTATAAACTTCCAACTCCTTATAAACTTCAAAGAACCAGGCAGGTCTTGGGTAGGAGATCAAACTGTTCAACACCAGATTGACTATTTATAATGCTGGGGAACAAGGGCCTCCTGGCACCATAACCACTATATTGAGTTGTAGTGGTTATGGTGCTTGGAGTGTTTCTTTAAAATTATGCCAGATCTATTTATCACACAATACAGTCATCAAAGCTCAGGTGTTAAGTGCAAACAAAGCACAGTAACCATATTTAGGTACAGTGAGTCAAGACAATCAATGTTAATACGAAAAGACAAAAAACTGCTTCCAAAGTTTATTGAGCTGATTTAACACAAAACAATATTCTGTTTCTAATACATAAAATCACTCTCTATTTCCTTCCTTTATTTGGCTACGTAACTAAGATAGCATATACTCCTCAAAGGTACTTTTCAATAAGCTGCTGGCAACTTTGTGTTCTGTAATATTAGGATTCAACAGCTAACGGAGAAACATCTGCAGTGTTCATATTATTGTTCAGTGAGAAACACTGGATTGGACCGAGCTCATCAATGTTGATGATCGCTTCGAAGGCGGTGTAGCTGCTGAGAGATGACTGTCTCAGCGCTCGATTGCACATATGCATTTAAAAAATGATATATTTATGTATCCTTTATATTTACATACATACATACATCATATAACATGATGTGACTGTCATTTCAGTTATAATGTCTGTGCTTTACAGAGAGTGCATAACTAATGAAAAGACTATAAATCAAGATAGAAGTGGTCAGAATATTAGGTTTACAGAAAGGAACTAGGTTAGTCCAGTATCATTTCAATTTATGCCAAACACACTGATGTCATATCCTTAATTTTAGTTTTTATGAATAAATGCTCAAGAGAATAAAAAACTGTGACTGTACACTTTATATTTATCTCATGTACAGGGCCCTCTTTACCTTTACTATTTGTCTGTGTATATGGTACGTTCTCCCCTAATTGTACAGTGCTGCGGACTATGTTGGTGCTTTATATATGCCAGTAATAAATAAATAAATAAAAATTTACTTCAAAGAGACACTGTAGTGTGTTCAACTATGTATAATATTACAATGATTATCAACACTGAATAGGTTAAATTAAGGAGGAGGCCCAGTGATTGTGTCACCTCCCTAGAATGAGCCCGTACCATATGGTCACCCTGTGTACATGGCAGGATCTCACGAGCATCGTTTCAGACTTTAGCACTGGTCCCGTCACTGTTATGGATGAGCTTACACATACTCTCATTCAGGTGCATGCGGTGCGCACCTGGGCTTGGCAGCTTTATCTGCAAACCTCGCCACCATTCCAGCAACTGGCAGAGTCGACACTGCCACCTGGCCTTCAACAGCTTTATCACGGTTGTTTTCAGAAGGTGAAAACTACCAGGGCTATTAGTCAACGATCTACGGATCAACAGAGGAACAACTCAGCACCATTCAAACCTGTGGGCTCTCAGCGCAGGAATAAAACCTTAATTTGATTTTAGTTCTGGGCAGCACTCTTTAGAAATGGTTACATGCGTGCTTGCAACCTACTTTAAATAACATGCAAAGGAGTTCTCCTGTTCCACAAATTATTCATTCCCTGGCTCTGTTTGGAAGACAATAAATGTCTTGATTGAGCTATGAATAACATCTCACTATCTTTATTTGGAAGAGATGTTACAAGTAGGTGGGAGGAATGGATGGATGGGTCCACAGGTCCTTTCTGTCTAAGTTCTAAACAGATATGCTGTTACCAGGAATGGAAAGTAATTAGAAGCCTGTAGCCTTTTAAACAGGAATGTTCTCTCCTCTGAGCCGTTTACATAGAAGTCCTTTCAACCCCCACTAGCTTCTTGGCAGAACGATGAGGAATATATCACACTTAAAAAACATCTGTGACAAGTGTTAAACACACTGATGCAGGATAAAATGTATGGGAGGATGAGACAATCCATAAATCATAGTTAGACATTAACAGACAAACTTGGAAATAATGCTTGGAGACAGTGGACAGACCCAAGTGATGTCATGAGAGCTGCGATAATCCAGCATAAGGTTGGCTCCCCCTAGAGAAAGAAGAAATACATTAAAAAAAGTTTAAACAAAACAAAAAAAATATGTTAATGTAGGATTTTTCTAAATTAAAAAAAAAAATTTGAAAATAAACCTTGGAAGGAAGGAAATGTTCCAGAATGCAGTTTGCAATTTAGGAAGTGACTTGCTTGTTAAAAAATAAAATAATTATTATTATTATTACTATCACGTTATTACTATTTAAAATATATTTCACAGTGCTTTATAATTTAATTTTCATTGAAGTGCTTTACGGTAGGAATGTAATTCAGAAAATGAATGGCAAACAAATTAATATGAACAGAAGCAAAAAGAGGTGAAAAGGTTTTTGACAAACATTCTTACATTCTAGGATTATTATTATTGTTTTTATTATCACTGGTATTTATAAACATTTTTCATAGCGCTGTACAATCAGGGAAAATCGATAGAACAGACGAACCAATACGAAAGGATGAGCCCTCTAATACCTCACCTTTTATGTTTGCGAATTACAATAGGGTACTTTTTATATTTAGATCGTATAGGTTTCTTTTATAAAGATATTGACAAAGAACCTATTTACTACATATTGAAAAGGTAATACATTTTAATCATTGTGTGCGCTTTCATACTTTTGTTTGGTTTCTAATAGAAGGCTCTGTCCGTGAGCTGAGATCTAACATTTGCAGCATCTTCAAACAAAGCCCTATGCTAGAAAACCCATGAGCTAACAATCGAAAGGTTATGATGGAAGATTGGAATAAGCAT